GTTACTAAAGTTGTTTACTTATTTATCACATGTGTATCCTTAATTAGAAATAAAATAAAAATCATATATAAACACTATTATTACCATAAAAAAATAATAAATACTTCAAACATCTATGATAATGATAATGACATGAGTGACATTATTTTCAAATACTGTTATTACTACCACTGTGTGTGGCAACAATATTAGTTCTTAACCCCTATGATTCAGATGACACGACTATCATATCATGAAAAATATTGGCTTGAGGGGCGGGTGACATGATCATGACGTCATGGGAAAATTCAGCTGTGTGCTAAGGCGACATGAACTTGCAATCACAAGCATTTCGGCTGAAGGCTGAGATAACAGAAATTACTCATGGAGAGTGATCAGACTCATCTGATATTTAGGAGAGGGCATTTGCATTATTTCCATCGATAAATGAGTGTGGAATGTACCATCAACGAGCTTTGACTGGAAGAGCGCTGGCTACAGGAAGGAGCCATGCTCAGGATCCTATTCCTGGCTGCTGTGACCTGCAGTGCAGGCTGTATCACAAAATTTAATATTACAAAAAAACAAAATGACACTGATGGCACCATGTTGCTTACTGTTATCATTATTGTATTGAGTTATGGACTAACAAGACATGATATGGAGTCAGTTCAAGGCAAACAATCTAATACCATCTGGATAAAGCTAATCAAATGACAAATATATACATTGGAAAACGGCAAAAATGCTAATAACGCTTAACTCATTCGCCCCATGTGGCAAGAATACATGCCATGCCCACAGTAATAAACGTTTATTTACTGTATATACACATAGATGGCTCTACAAGTTCTTAATCACCAAATAGCCAGTTATCAGAACTACCTATCTCACCTGATTACCCTTTTCCTTCACTTTAGGAAAGGGTCTTTTGTATCATTTCATTGTCAAAAATATTTTAATGACAATTTAACCCATTGTTTACTTGTTTGATATATATATATATACATGTTTATATACATATATACATATGTGTATATACACATGTATGTATATATACATATATATGTATATATATACATATACATATATATATGATATATATATATATGTATATATACATTTACATACTTATACATATACATATATATATATATATATATATATATATATATATATATATATATATATATATATATATATATATATATATATATATATATATATAAATGTATATGTATATGTATGTATGTGTATATATATATGTGTATATATATATGTGTGTGTATATATATATATATATATATATATATATATATATATATATATATATATATATATATATATATATATATATATATATATATATATATATATATATATATATATGTATATACAATTATTTTTTCTTGCTTCTTTTTTTTCTCTCTCTCTCTTTTTAAATCCAATGCCATCAGGATCATCTTCACTGTAGTATTTTGTGAAATATATTTACACACAGATGGCTCTACAAGTGAAAAGCCACCAAGGAGTCATTAACCCATTCGCGCCGGGCGTCACGTATACGTGACGGGCCCACTGTGAGTTTACTTGTTTGATTGTTTACAAACATAGATGGCTCCACTTGCACTTGTACTGCCTGTCTCGTCTGTTTACCCTTTTCTTTAATTTACGAAATTATTTTGCATTATCTTATTTTGCTGTTACTAATGTTTATAACATTATAGTAATTATAATGTTTATAATAAAAATAACCATCGATATTCATAGCACTAGTAAAAATACATTTTCCCGCCAAATGAAATCAGGTAAAGCAGAGCCATCTAGTGTAGAGAAATTTCATTAAAAAATATAAAAAAATGAGCACAGTATTTCCCCCATTTTTTGTTCATTTTTACCCGGCGCGAATGGGTTAAGTAGACCTAACCTGATTTCCCCTTTCCTTGAGTCAGCAGGAAAAATGTTCCTTTCTTATCCTTAAATACTGAGGATGTTATTGTGATGTTCCATGTGCTCTCACCCAACTTCCCTCCCTTGATTTTTTCTCCTAATGCTATTAATATTGGGGCTGTTACTATTGACAGTATGATTATAACTGTGTTAACAGTTCTAAGAGCAATATAAAATAAAATGACACATTTCTGAAAATGAAGGAAAAGGGTAACTAGGCATAATAAGTTGGACAAATTATCAATTCATTGGTGACTAAACACTTAAGGAGCCAATAAATAAATTACCTAAACTCACATAAATGCCATCCCCTGCAGCATTATGTTAACAAGGAAATCAGCCAGTTGTTAACACCACATTAGCCATATTCATATTTGGATATATAAAAATCTGTTTTTTTTCTTTCTTTTTCAAAAGCATAACATGAAATATACATTCTTTGAATTGTGGATTTTGAAAGGTTAGATTCCTGAAGCACACTTGCATAGCACTACAACAGTTGTGGTGCCCAGGCTCAGTGATACAATGGTTAACAGCAGTGGGATAGATTTAACAGTGCCCCAGTCTGGTGCTACACCAATTCTACAACTATAACGTTACTAAAGATAATGATGAAGAAAATGAAAAACAATATGATCATACATAGCAAAGTTTCATTACCACCCCTATTATCATAGATATTACAATTACTACTATCACTATTACTATATTCACCCTAGTTTTTCCCACTTAGCATATATCTTACCTGAAGACATGAGAGAGAGCTAAGACTCCAAGGAAGAAGAAATATGATGAAAGCAGTAAATTGATGTATTCCTTGGAGAAGACCTGGGAAAATACACAGAACACATTATTTTGGGCTTCCATCTTTTATCTAAAGACATCACCTATGATTTCTGTTAAACTTATAGTGATATAACACAATGAAAGTAAAAAAGCAGGCAGGGATGTATTGGACATCATAACCCAATAAAATCTTTGAAAGTTACAAAGAAAAAATTCTATTGTATCATTACCGTAAAGACAATGTAGAGGCCAAAAAGTGCACAGGAAGCAATTATGGGGAATAAGGCAGCATCCTTTGAGGTCATTGTATCCACCTTCTCCCCAGCAGCCTGAAAGACAAATTGAAAGCAGCTATTAGAGTCTCTTTAATTGTGTGCATATTTTACAGTGCATAAAAATACATTCTGAAACCTTTTTTTTCTTTTAAATTATGGCACTGCACTCGTTCTCACTTGCATCCACTCACTCACTCAATTTGCTCCCTTTCCTTGACCACACCATTCATACTATTGTTCTTTTCATAGACATAATTGCAATCTCAACTTGTCTTTGAATAATGGGCATTTCCACTTTCATTTCTTTAGTCATTTTACAATTTCCTATTTTCTATTTCAAAGCTATGCTTACGTTTGCTCCCTTATCAAAGTTGTCTTAATATCTTCTTTTATTTCAGCTTTTACATATAGCCCTACTTCACTTCTTGTGTGATCCCCCCTTTCGCTGCTATGACATTTTCTACATAAACCAAACCCTCTGCTATTGTGTCTTGTTGGCTGTGCACCTACACAATATAATGGAAATTTGTAATAGCAGAACTTGATTGTTAACCCATTGCCAAAATGAACAAAAAATGGGGAAAATGCTGTGCCTATTTTCTATACTTTTTTGTTAAATGTCTGCCCATAGATGGCTCTGTTAGCGCCTGATTTGAAACACGTATTTTTCACTAGTGCCATGAATATCGATGGTGTTATTTTTATCATAAACATTGTAATTTTTATAATGTTTTTTAACATTAGTAACAGCAAAATAAGATACCGTAAAATATTTCATAAATCAAAGAAAAGGGTGAACGGGCGAGACAGGCGGTACTTGTAAATGGCTCATTGGTGATTTAGTACAAGTGTAGCCATCTGTGTGTGAAAACAATCTAACAAGTAATCTCACAGTGGCCATGGCATGGCATGCCCGGCAGGAATGGGTTAATGGGAATAATTCAAACTGGTTCTCAGGTAGATCTACCTACATATTTTAGTAATATTTACCCTTAAACACCAAGGTATAATGAGAATTAATAACTTCAACTGCAAAAGAGATGAATTTGGTAGAATTGGTATGACAGGGAACCTACAAATAGCCCTGACAACACTGTATACTATACGCACTACACTAGGTGTAATAAAGGGGGGATGGTTCTGCACTAGGATTAAAGAGCTAACATCTGCTCCCACCCACCTTCCAACACGATGATGGTAAATAACTACGAAGCTGGACTTCTACCAGAATGACATTACTTTCATGACATGACTATCATTATTAACAAGTATATTTAGATCTTAACTTGCATAAATAAATTTGGAATATACATTTAGAGACCTTAAAATGGTAAAATAATATAAAATAAAATAAAAAAATAAAGTGCAGCGACAAATGGTAACCACACAAATGTAGCAACCATTCATGGAAAGCACCACTCTCAGCCTAAGTTCACCTCATATGGTGCTCCCAAATTTTAGCTCTATTTTGTCATGCATACCAGAGTGAAAATGTTTCCTGGGAGGTGTCTGGGGGCAGAGTCCCCATCAACCCTCCCCTTGGACAGGTCCAAAGGGCAAGCTCAGTCATGGTAACTTTAGTTGTTGAATAGATTTTGATACATGGAGTTGGGGCTTACTTTCTGATCAGTGCTTCTGTACTGTAAAGATGATTTTTTTTTTTTTGTCTCAAACAGCATTGTTTTAGTTACTCACACTGTGTGAATCTTTTGTTATATTTGATCCCAAATGACAAGTGAAAATATTGGTAACTGCTTACAAAGTGACCACACCCCTCTCAGTCCCTAATATTCCAGTCACTTCTGGGAATCCACAAACAGGTATACAATTACATAATGACCACACTAAAATAGGGAGAATCTATTGACACTGTCATAAAGAAAGGGAAAACTATGCTCACTAATACATATGGCAATGTTTGCTGAGTTCTCAGGAATGGTTGGAGTAACAGGGACAATCTCAGAGGAGAGTGGTCACTTCATAAACACTACCAATACTTCCATTTAAAACATTTGCAATGGAAAATAAAAACGCAGTGGTTATTGTTCCAGCACAGGATCTCATTACATTTTGGCTATTCATCCGGCATGCACGTGCACCAACTTTTTGTGCACGAACATCACAACCCGAATCTATGACCATGAGTGTTTCTTATTTGTATTCCTTGATCATGTTAATAACTTGTTGATAAAATTAATCCACTCTGGAGCAACAGCCCCTTGATCCATCAAGGTCAGGAGAGATCAAAACTGATTCATATTGATCAACATTCATGCGCAGGTTGAGCTTGTTTTTTCCTTTGAATATTCCCTGGCAAATTATATTTTCTCTAATGAGGGGCTGACTTCCTGCAAGAAACAGTCGCAAATGCTGCGCTGCTGCTGAGGCATTAAGCTGGGTGATTTTCAATTAAATGTCACATGAAAATTACATCCTGCACTGATGCTGGGAAAATACCTCTTCAGTAAAGGCATCCGGCACAAAGTGCCAGTAAAATATCCCAGCAGAGACCGAATACGAATCTCGAGTGAAATGTTGAAGACCCAATTATTGCATGTGCACAAAGAGCTAGTGCGCATGAGTGCCGGACTAATAGCCAAAATGTAATGAGATCCGGTGCTGGAACAATAACCACAGTGAAAGAAAAAGAATTTTCTAGTTTCAAACAGCCATCCAATCTTGCAATTATTATTTAATCTTTCAATAATCAACATTGTAATATGCCTGAATCTCTTCTTAATTTCTATTCCAAGTGATATATACGAATATATTGATAATGTTTATGAAGAAACCTTACACCCCAAGATTAAGTCTCTATCACTCCAGCCATTCCATTACTGTATGAACCAGAAACATTCCTACTTCCTGTGGCTTTGCGCTGAACCCCATCTTATCACTGCATTCCCTGTAGGAGACTGCCCAGAACCCCACCCGATCACTGTGGATTTACTCCACGAGGATAATGTTGTGACCTATTTTCTGCATTTCTGATGTTATTCTTTACTCGTGCCAATTGTCTCATGTATTTGTGAGTAGTTTTTCACTTCTTTAAGAGTTTCACTAGATTTTCCCCGTTAATGTATGACATTAAGAACTCTGGCTGCGTGAGGGTGTTCATTGCTTCCTTTTTTAAGCTCTATAAGACGGCAGTGTCCATTTCCCTCCGTCTGTGTCGCTCTTGGTAACATTAAGCCAAAGAATTGTGTTGCACAATTTTCCTATTATCAATATGTGAAGGATATACCACAGATGAAAAGGATCCTCTCTGCCTAGAAAGACAGGGAAGACACTTTTCCTTTACTTTCTATTCCAAAATAGGTATTGACACAGCTGTTTCTGTATACTTCAAGAAATAATTCATGAAAATGTAAGTATAATCTTGGCATGTACAAAAATATACAAACATTAAGTGAAATCCTACATGAACCTAGTTGTAAGCCTCGTTGGCCTCCGCACACCAGAAAAGTAAAACAGTCCTGTAATGCATGACAAAGCTCGAGGCACAACTGCCCCAGAAGGCCAGCCCCTGCCCGGGAAGCCTCGAGCCCGAAGGAGAAAAGGGCGCCCGAGTGGCCCCAGAGCCAGGAGCCCGGCGTGGCCCCCAACAGCTGTTTCCTCACCTTCTGCTGCTGCTGGTGCTTCACCGATCGGAACGACCCGAAGAAGATCGGGATGAGCGCCATCACGACCAGACTTCCGTAGGCCAGCGCCATGCCCTCGGGGGTCGAGGGAGGCTTTCCCGTGCCGTTGGTCGCCGCGGTGATGTTCTCCACCACATTTTCCACGATCGGGGCCACAGGGTCTTCGCTGACATCCGCCATGGTTCGCAGTCTCTCGCCGACTGTCACTCTCTCCTGTGGCTGGCGGGGTTAGGGCATGCACCTACGTTATTTACATGAGTTTATCTCTAAAAATTACCCTCTTCTCCATAAATTCAAATATAGACTATTCAAGAATAATACAAAATAATGGAATGTTGGATCTGATTGCGACGTATGGCTATTTCTATTGAAGTATTTGTCCGTTTTGGAAAGATTTTAGAAAGATGCTCTGCCGCTTGGAAGACGGAGACGTGTCATGGCTGGAAGGCGGGAACACCCAAACGCTTTCCGGGAATATGCATGCTGCGGGAAATTCTGTGACTGGGCACAGGTCAAATATGTTGCAAATACCGATGGATCTACGGGGATCTCAATATATAGATTTAAAAAGATGTGATAGTACGCACTCGCGTGTGCGCGCCCACAGTTATAAACACACACAAACACACATGCACGCACGCACGTACGCACACACATACACATTTATACACACACACACACACACACACAGACACACGCACACACACACACACACACACACACACACATATATATATATATATATATATATATATATATATATATATATATATATATATATATATATTATATATATATGTTTAGGATGTATGATAGATAACCAAGATGTCTTGACACCTTTATTGAAGAGTAATAATGGAGTGTGGCCGCTTCTAAAACGAGGAGACAGTCGTCCAAGGAGGGTTATAAACCACCTACTTATAAACACACACCCACACACACACACACACACACACACACACACACACACACACACACACACACACACACACACACACACACACACACACACATATATATATATATATATATATATATATATATATATATATATATATATATATATACTATACATACATACATACATACATATGATAACACCATCTCTCTCTCTCTCTCTTCTCTCTCTCTCTCTCTCTCTCTCTCTCTCTCTCTCTCTCTCTCTCTCTATATATATATATATATATATATATATATATATATATATATATATATATATATATATTTATATATATATATATATATATATATATATATATATATATATATATATATATATATATATATATATATATATAAATGTGTGTGTGCGTGAAGATACGCATGTGACAAACATGTATGATTATGAACAGGAATACAGACACAGTTTTTGGGGCTGTTTTCCTACTTTGACGAGACAGGCGGCAGTCTCCCCATGCGTCTGTCTCAACATAAATACGATGTATCCAGGGGACACAACAACAACGTCCTCTTTTGTCACTAGTGGGATACAGACCATCAGTTAGATTGGTCAGCCGCGGGTATCGTCTTCCCTCCGCCCGCAGATTGGTGGAATCTCCTTAATAAAACTTCTACCTAATTTCAACATGAACAGCGTTTTTTCCCGTCGACAGCCTTCTCGCTTCCCACATCCTCCGCTTTATCCCTTTTGCCGGCCATCCTTCGGAAAGACCGCCTTTCTTTCGACCTGATCTGACTTCCCTTCGCTTCCATTCACCTGTCCTCACCTGTCCCGTGGCCCCGGGATACCTTTCCTTTCTTATATAATTTCTATTTTCCCCTTCCCCTTCAGGCTTGAAGATGGAAAGGGGAAAGGCTTCCCGACCTCCTAGGGGGAAGGACGCATCTCCTCAGCCGACACCGGACACCTCCAACAGAAAGGAGTTTCCGGCCATTGCAAGTGTACAGAAAAAGAACCAGAAAAATAAAGGTTCAAAGAACAATGCAAGAGCCTCCCTAAGAGCCGATCTTCTCTTTGATGAGGAAGATATGATTCTCCTGTTGATTGCTGAAGTCACTGCAGTAGCAACAGCTTTGAGGAGGTCGAGTGAAGAGGCGAAGGCAGTCACGGTCGCCATGACGGTAATGACCCATATTGTTGCAGCCCTGAAAGAGAGGAATATGGGCAGAGCCAAACCAGCCCCTACCCCACCTCAGGACAAAACTCCCCTCCCTACTCCAACCTAGACCATCTCCTATACAGATGATCTTGCAACCATTTCCACTGGACCACATTGCCTAAGAAGAGCCCAGTGATATCTGGGCCTTGTGTGTAAGGAGCGTTGTAGGACAGGACTAAAGATCTCTGCAGCCAAATCAAAAGCCATGGCTCTGAGACCCAATGTTCAATGTATAAGTCTGTGTGTCAAGGGAATGGACCTAAAATGGGTTCAGGTCTTCCAATACGTTGGGGTAGGGATTGATCAGACCCTCTCCTTCCAAAAGGAGGTCCAGTACCTGGTTAACCAAACCAAAGCAAGACTGTCTGTCATGAGAGCAATGACTGGGAGACACATAGGATCTGGATATAAAGTACTAAGATCATTTTATGTACATGTCTTCCGTCCCATTATGGACTATGCTCCTGTCGCCCTGATTGCCAAGACTAAGAATTGGAGACAGTTCAAAATAAAGCTGCCAGGATCATTCTGGGTGCCCCTAGTTGGACAAAGGTCCTCAACCCCCTGGACTCCCATACTGATCTAATGGCAGTACAGTTCCTTTCAAAGTTCATCCAAGCACCTCAAAACAAGTGCAAGACAAAACAATCTCAGACACCTAGAACAATATTATGAGCTCTTTGCAAACAACTCCTGGCTGTCACATACAGCGAGGGTGTATTCCTGATTTGGACACAAACCTTGATCGAGTTTTCTGTCATGAGCTAATCTAGGAGAAAGAACCAATACCCCATGCCTAGCCTTAAGGCAGTAGCCAAGAGGGTAATTACAGCCATCACTCTACAGTTAATCCTGTAACCCACATTGCAAGTGCCAGCTTTGCAGCAAGGGATGCCACAAAATTCATGAGGGTAACAGACAACACCTTATTGCCACAAGCAGAGGCAGTTGTGATCATGGGAGCCTTAACCCATGTGTTTCTGAGAGAACGACACATGGTCATACATACAGATTCCAGGACAACCATTGACTGTCTACAGCACAGCATGACCAATGACAACATCTACCTTGGTGAGATGAAATTCTGCCTTGCCCTCAGATGTTTGCCAATGGTGTTTTGCACATGAAGTACTACCACAGAGCTACTGAGTCTCTCATGATTTCTAGCTCTGTAAAACGACCAGAGAGAACCGTGGCAAACCTCCAGATACACTCCTCCCTCAATCAGTCAAAGAATGGTCATTGGAAGGATGAAGAGTTTTGAACTGGATCCGCGGGGTAGCCACAACCAGTCTATGGTCAATGCTACAGAACTTGGCACTCCAGTAAATCTTGCAGTTCTGGAGGATCCTCCATCGAGTGCTGACAAGAATGTGGTCGATCTTCTTGGCCACAGTACTGGTATCACTATTCCATGTCCAGCCATTCGGGTTGGAGTGTTGATATCAAGAGCCAGAAATCCTGAATCTCTGGGACCTAACAAAGTACCAGAGGACGCTGTTCTCGCTAGTGGGATCATATACTAAGCCATGGGTACTGACAGGCATCTTGTAGCCAACTCGATCATAGTCGGATACTGTATAAGTTATCCAGAATATTTATCTGCCACAGATGTGAGTTTGGCATAGAACACTCTTTCTCATCAGGTTTCCAAACATCGGTAGGAGCATAGACAGCATTAAGAGCCATGGAGCCAAAAGCATGCTTCAGTCTCCATACCATAACATTCTCATCAACCGGTGTTACCTCCTCTACCGAGGGTTGAAGTCGGCTAGAGATGGCAATGGCTACTCCTTGGAGATGATGACCATTACCCTGGCCTGGCCAGTAGTTGATTTACCCACCCATACTGATCATGCTGCTGCCAGGTCTTCTCAACTCTGAGAGGGCAGCCACATCAATCTCCTAACTGCTTCTGTTTCCTACTGCAGGCACTGACTGTTCCAAGTTCCTACAGGACAGATCATCTGCCTCGGGCAGTCTCTTTGTGTGGATGCTACCTCTGCCACCCCCACCGACACTGGCTGCCAGGGCACAGGCAGGATGAATAACTCTCATTCACATCCTGTGCCCCAGCAGTCACCCTCCCAACGGGACCCACAACCTGCCTCCCTTGTTGAGTAAGAGGGGCAGTACCCCTCCCCCAGCATTTCCAATCATATGGTTAATTGCCGTAGAATCTTATAAAGGGGGAGGATGACTGGCAAGGCCCTCCTCCCCTGAGCTGCCCACTGACCCTAGGGGGCTGAGGGGCAGGAGTTGGTATGGAGCCTGGGCATGTCGACGTGCTGGTGGACAATGATTCCGTACCTCTAGGACCTCCTGCTGTTCACAGATCCCCCACAGTTTTAATCTGGGACTGCAATGTACCCAGTTTCCGTGGGTAGCCACGAGGAGGCACTGCAGAAGTCTCGATGACGGAGAGGCTATGAACTGGCAGGGAAGCTTATGCAGAGCTACTTTCTTTTTCGCCCTAGGCTAGCCAGCGGTGGCAGCTGCAAGCGAAAAAGTATGCAAATACTTAAAACTATCTAGGCTACAACACCATTGTATATATGTATATATATATATATATATATATATATATATATATATATATATATATATATATATATATATATATATACATATATATATATATATATATATATATATATATATATATATATATATATACATATATATATATATATATATATATATATATATATATATATATATATATATATACATATATATATATATGTATGTATACATATATATACATACTATATATATATATATATATATATATATATATATATATATATATATATATATATATATATATATATATATTATATATATATATATGTATGTATATATATGTATACATACATATATATATATATGTATATATATATATATATATATATATATATATATATATATATATATATATATATATATATATATATATATATATATATATATATATATATATATGTATATATATATACATACATATATATATATATATATATATATATATATATATATATATATATATATATACATATATATATATATATATATATATATATATATATATATAT